TATATATTGTCATCCACTCACTGTATCACAGCTCATCAGCGAGGGTAGACGTCTGGTTGCCTCTAGCTAGGATCGAAACCCGGCTGAATTGGCGTCAGTCGGGGATTCTACCACTAAAACGTTGGCGCACGGCAGGGATGAAGGTGAATTTAAGCGTACTTATTTTTAGATAAACACACAGTGACTGAGAGAACTTAATTCATTTTATCGAATAGTCTTGTATTATTAGCAGTAATAGCAACCGTTTACAGACTCACACTTCCTCCCCCGACAGCTCAACTTAAATAAATTTTTCAAGAGCATATATTGTATATAGGCTGAAAATAAATGTGCGTAAATTTTAATGCTTTTTTAAAATTGTCTAATCTATTTGTAACACATTAAATGCATTTAAGTTGGAGTTTGTTTTGACAAATTATTCTCTGGAGAATATGAGAAAGCTTCGTTTAGACTGTCGACTGGAACTTGTGAATTTATATTATGCTAAACATACGAGTGCAGCAAGAATGCAGCTTATAATACAAGGAACAATTTAAAACAGCTCTATCAACATTTACTGGTCTGATAGAAAAGTTTTAACCCACAATAATACTGCGTGATATTTTTTAAAAGTAGGAGACATTACTTAGAATCTGAGCGTACATCCCAAGTTATGGATAGTCTGTCAATAATTTGATCAAACGTACAACCTTGCTTATACAACAAAATGTGGTGAACAACAGAAAATTTGTCTATAATATTTGAGATGAGGTATTATGTACACTATTTACATTATTCGGACTATTGTCCTCATCTTTGTCGCCATATTTATCACAACGTTTATCCACTGTGTCATGTGTCCTTAAGTCATTTCCGCCTATCTGACAATAGAATTGGTTTTTAATGTCTACTCTTAGTTTAATTAGCACACGGACCTGTCTATATTTCTGAGATGAGGTATTATGTACACTATTTACATTATTCGGACTATTGTCCTCATCTTTGTCACCATATTTATTACAACGATTCGGCCTTTCAGTATCTGTCTATATTTCTGAGATGAGGTATTATGTACACTATTTACATTATTCGGACTATTGTCCTCATCTTTGTTGCCATATTTATTACAACGTTTCGCCCCTTCAGTATCTGTCTGTATTTCTGAGATGAGGTATTATGTACACTATTTACATTGTTCGGACTATTGTCCTCATCTTTGTTGCCATATTTATTACAACGTTTCGGCCTTTCAGTATCTGTCTATATTTCTGAGATGAGGTATTATGTACACTATTTACATTATTCGGACTATTGTCCTCATCTTTGTTGCCATATTTATTACAACGTTTCGGCCGTTGTACACTCCGGCGTTCTTCAGATGGATGGTATGTCGAACTGAACCCTTTATTTCGTTCACTGGGGTAGAGTGTTCTAGTTCCACGTGCCATGTCTAATGAATGTCAGTTATCTCCTGCCTTAGCCAGGTATTGAACTCACAATCTTTGGGTCCTGTCCCTGTATCTAACTAACGCCTTTATGTTGTTAATAATGTTTATGAAAACAGAACATTTACTTAAATATTTGTATCTATAAGAATAACGTATGAACAGTGTGTATCAAAAATACACTTACGAACATCGGGGGCTTGTTCCAAGGAAGACAGACGATCCACGAATGTACACGAATAACAAATGTAAACTAGTCTTCATGGTAACACAGCAGGATAGATTACACACAGTGGATATTTTTTCCAAAAATATATTGCTGGTAATTTTTTTTCCAAAAATGTATTGCTGGTAATAATGTTTGCTGGTAATAATTTTTTACAAAAATATATTTTTTGATACTAAAACCTATTTTTACACTTTCACAGTATTTTGATTCCAGTTTTGGGGGATAGCTATTTGCCCATAGCTGGGATCCTAACAGGTGCTGCCACCCCGGGAACACCAGCAATTAAGAGGTGGTTCGACGCTCCTCTAAACCTCCTGATCAGAGGCCTTGCTGCTGGACGTAGTTTCTCGTCATACCCAGGACGGTGTAAATAAGTACATGGTTTATAAAGGAAAAAAAGAAAAAAAAAAGAAAAGAAAATCAAGTTCTATATTATCTGTTATGGTAAAGGCATTGTATTTGCACTTTACACGACCAGAAGCACTTCTCGTATTCACCGAAGCTATGATTGGGTTTAAACATCTGCAACTTATGATAAAAATGCGCAAAACACAGGTAGAAATGCCTTAGAAGTGTTTGAAATTACCAAAAAAAAAAAAGAGGAAAAAACGTGAATGCAGCAGCTGGCATCACCAAACCGGGATTTGCAGGTCCGTGCGACGGCTCGGGAAATTTAAAATGACTTGAGTGAAAATTATTGATTAAACCGGTTCATAATTGCCAGATTGGTGACGGCCAATCTGCGTTTGTCATAGAAATTTCAGGCTGAAAATGTCACACCCATTTGTTGGTTAAGAGAAAATTTATTGTGAAACGTAAATGTGTATGAGAATTAGGTTATATACAAATATTTGTATTAATTCGAATCTCTCTCTCTCTCTCTTTCTATCGCAGTGTCACTCTGTCTCTCTTCTTTAATTTTTTGGAAAAAATATTATCCGCAATAAAAATTTTCTCGGCATTAAATAACCCAATGAGGTTGATATACCGTAAAAAATACGAAACAAAACCATACCAAACATACAAAGAACATGCTTATGAGTTACTGTATAAAATAATTATGACGGTGGAGAAAGAAAGAAAGAAAGAAAGAAAGAAAAAAAGAAAGAAAGAAAAAAAGAAAGAGTACACTGTGTGAGAGAGCAGACTATAATCAAATAGGTAGACACACATACACACACATATAATATATATATATATATATATATATATATATATATATATATATATATATATATATATGTTTGTGTGTATGTGTGAGTGTCACTGCGTGCGTGTGTGTGTGTGTGTGTGTGTGTGTGTTTAATCCAAATAAGATAAAGAACTGATGGAGTAAAACCCAGTTATATATATATATATATATATATATATATATATATATATATATATATATTAAGGCATTAAAAACAAGAAATTTTATATTGTAGGCCATGATAGATTTAAAACAAAACACACACCATTCGACCGGTTCCGTCCCCTCTCATCAGAACTGTTAACGGGGAACTAAAATTATGAGGAAAAGAAAAAGAAAAAGTCTGTCAAGGATGACATGAATGAATGGACAGGGAGAAAAAAATATTATAAAAAAATTATACCAAGAAAAATGCTAGAAGCGCAGCACAGCAAGTCCAGGCAAACAATCTCTTTGTTTGCAAAGAGCAGGTTGCCTGGACCTGATGTAAAGCGTCTCCAACACCTTAAGATGGAATAATGAATGCGAACTGGCCAAAACGGAAAACCAGTTCGCACTGAAATCCATCACACAAGTGGGATTCTTTATAAAGTGATCCGCACTCGAAGAACCATACGTGTTTTTTTGTTCAGTATTATAGCAGGTACGTGTTGTTTAATTCTAACGTCCAACCGCTGTATCGTACCGGTTCAAACATATATATATATATATATATATATATATATATATATATGACAGAGTTAATCTGGCCGTTGTTCTCGAAAACGACCTCCAATCAGTGGTTAACTGGGGCAGGAAATGGCTTGTGAATTTTAATGCGTACAAAACGAAACTTGTGTCATTTATTCACCATAGAGAAATTTCCCTATCATCATGGTTGATGTTCAACTCCATAAGACCGCCTCATTGCTACTTTTTGGTCTCACGTTTTCCACTGATCTGAGGTGGAATAACTACATTGAATCAATAAGCTGCATCTACTGCAAGGAAAGTTGGTTCTCTGTGTGGTTCCAGAAGGTTTTTTCTCTCCTCTGTGTCCAGCCTTCAAATCTAGAAATCTACCATTTGTCCATGCATGGAATGTTGTTGCTATATATGGTCTAGTGCCTCCGCTTGTCATCTCGAGATTCTCGACAAAATCCAAAGACGGATCTGCAATGTGATCGGTCCTGACTTGAGATCTCGAATCCAGTCATTTTCTATCAGACATGACATGGCTATGGTGATCAACACTGTGTCATCTTCATTTTCTCCGGTTGATGACGAAGGCTTTCGTTTCATTTAACGAGGAAGAGGCGCTATGTTTTCTTACTTTAACAACAAAAGGCAAATACGTTCGATCGTTTCTTGTTTCTAGTTTATATTATGATTTGAAACAAAATGGTAGACAAAAACAGAAACTAAATACCAAAGGTGATCGAACGAATAAAAGAGTTTGGTTTTAAAATGGTTAAAGACAACTGCGAATTATCTATGTCACAAGTTGTTGATATGAAGTGGAACAAATACATAGCTTTCATCTATCGCAAGAAAAGTTGATTCTCTGTGTCACACCAGAAGGATTTTTTTCTCATCTGAGTCCATCCTTTACATCTACAAATCTACCATCCGTCCATACATGGAATACTGTTGCCATATATGGTCTTATGCCCCTGCTGGTCATCTCGAGGTTATCGACAAAATCCAAAGACGGATCTGCAATGTGATTGGCGTCTCAACTCCAGTCACTTTCTCACCAACGTAATGTGGCTTCCCTCTGTCTTCTCTATACATATTTTTATCACGTCTGTTCTGACGAGCTATTTTCTTTGGTCCTCCGTCTGCTACTAGGTTGGTCCTACCCTTTTACTGTCAAAAACAGTTAAATGTAACTGCCTCTTCTACTCTAAGAACTTCTTCGCGTGCACTTCCCGACAGTAGAACTCCCTTCCTCGTACTTGCTTTCTTGATAACTATAATCTTGAGCAAATTAAATGTAATGTCAATCGACATCTTCTGATGCTTTGATAACTCTTCTTTTCCTTCCTTTCCTCAATCTCACCATAACCAGTCTTTTCTCTTACTTTTACTCACACTTACATACTTGTGGGACCCCCGCCATGCTTGGGGTGAAATGCTTTAAAAACAAACAACCAAACATGTCTATGTATTTCAGACTGTAGACCGTATTACATTGAACGCGACAGAGGAATATGGAGACCATTTTCGAAAGCAGAAAGGTCGCTGGAATGAATATTGCTTAGATTTTGGTAAATTGCCTCTCAGGTCGGGGCATATCTAGCGTAGTGAGCCGATCACACACACGCTCGTGCGCATATATATATATATATATATTGGGTGAAATTTGAATATTGTTTGTTACATATATATATATATATATATATATATATATATATATATATGTTGATAGATGTGAGTTTGTGACCCTGGGTTTCACGCTTTAGCGATCGTCAGACAAACTGATTAATTTTTTTAAAAATTGGGGTTTATGTAGATTGCGTGTATTGATGTTATTGTGGAAGTGGTGGGGAAAACTTCGTCGCTTATGTCATCGTACTAACGCAAACATCGATGTATGCAGACACATATATATACTTGGTCGTCCGTCGGGACTCATACATATATAAATATATGTGGGCAGTTTCGGATATTAATCAGTTTGCTAAAGCGTGAAACCCAGGGTCACAAACACACATCTATCCAACCAAATATGTTAGCTCTAGCTCTGATATTGAGCGCTTTTTAATACGTACCGAGCATATCATATATAAATAATTATACATATATATATTTATTTATATTTATATACACTTTTCACACATGTATATATATATATCGATAATATTCAAATCGGCGTGGTGTAATGGTTAGATCTTCCTAGATCAATTACAACTGAGTAGTGAGTTCAATCCTCACTGGGTGCCCCATACTTTCGGCCTTGTACCACGTCTAAGCCGGGCTTAGAAAATCACTATATGTCAAGCATTGAAACAATTTAAGTTTAATATAAATACTGAGATCGTTCTATCTTTCAATCTGTCTACATATCTATCTATCTCCGTCTGTTCATATCTATCAATTTATTTATCGCAGACAGTTCATACCTATCTAATCATCTATCTCAGTCTATACATATCTATCTATCTATCTGTCTGTCTGTCTATCTCAGTCAGTTCATACCTATCTATCTATTCATTTATCTCTCTTAGTCTTTCATATCTATCTATCTATCTATCTATCTATCTATCTATCTCAGTCAATTCATACCTATCTGTCTATTCATTTATCTCTCTTAGTCTTTCATATCTATCAATCTATCTATCTATCTGTCTGTCTGTCTGTCTATCTATCTCAGTCAGTTCATACCTATCTATCTATTCATGTATCTCTCTCAGTCTTTCATCTATCTATCTATCTATCTATCTATCTATCTATCTATCTATCTCAGTCAGTTCATACCTATCTATCTATTCATTTATCTCTCTCAGTCTTCCATATCTATCTATCTATCTATCTATCTATCTATCTATCTATCTATCTATCTATCTATCTATCTCAGTTCATACCTATCTATCTATTCATGTATCTCTCTCAGTCTTTCATATCTGTCTATCTATCTATCTATCTATCTATCTATCTATCTATCTATCTATCTATCTCAGTCAGTTCATACCTATCTATCTATTCATTTATCTCTCTTAGTCTTTCATATCTATCTATCTATCTATCTATCTATCTATCTATCTCAGTCAGTTCATACCTATCTATCGATCTATCTATCTATCTATTCATTTATATTAGTCTTTCATATCTATCTATCTATCTATCTGTCTGTCTGTCTATCTCAGTCAGTTCATACCTATCTATCTATTCATTTATCTCTCTTAGTCTTTCATATCTATCTATCTATCTATCTATCTATCTATCTATCTATCTATCTATCTCAGTCAATTTATACCTATCTGTCTATTCATTTATCTCTCTTAGTCTTTCATATCTATCAATCTATCTATCTATCTGTCTGTCTGTCTGTCTATCTATCTCAGTCAGTTCATACCTATCTATCTATTCATGTATCTCTCTCAGTCTTTCATATCTATCTATCTATCTATCTATCTATCTATCTATCTATCTATCTCAGTCAGTTCATACCTATCTATCTATTCATTTATCTCTCTTAGTCTTTCATATCTATCTATCCATCTATCTATCCATCCATCTATCTTCATCTATCTATTCATGCATCTCTCTCATCTCATCTATCTATCCATCTATCAGTTCATCCATTCTCCATCTATCTATTCATTTATCTCTCTTCAGTTTTTTCATATCTATCTATCTATCTCATCTATCCACACCATCCTCTATCTTTATCTATCTATCCATCCATCCATCCATCCATCTATCCATCCATCTATCTCAGTCAGTTCATACCCATCTATCGATCTATCTTCATATCTATCTATTCATTTATATTATCTTTCTATCTATCCATCTATCTATCTATCTATCTGTCTGTCTGTCTGTCTCAGTCAGTTCCATCACCCATCTATCTATTCATTTATCTCTCTCAGTCTTTCATATCTATCTATCTATCTATCTATCTATCTATCTATCTATCATATCTATCATCTATCTCAGTCAGTTTTCATACCTATCTATCTCTATTCATTTATCTCTCTTAGTCTTTCATATCTATCTATCTATCTATCTATCTATCTATCTATCTATCTATCTATCTATCTATCTATCTATCTCAGTCAGTTCATACCTATCTATCTATTCATGTATCTCTTTTTTTCAGTTTTTCATCTATCTATCTATCTATCTATCTCATCTGTCAGTCAGTTCATACCTATCTATCATCGATCTATCTATCTATCTATCTCTATTCATTTATATTAGTCTTTCATATCTATCTATCTGTCTGTCTGTCTATCTCAGTCAGTTCATACCCATCTATCTATTCATTTATCTCTCTTAGTCTTTCATATCTATCTATCATCCATCTATCTATCCTCTATCTATCTCATCTATATCTATCTATCTATCTCTTAGTCAATTTATCTATTCCTATCTATCTATTCATTTATCTCTATCTCAGTCAGTTCTTTCATCTATCTATCTCTATTCATTTATCTATCTATCTATCTATCTATCTATCTATCTATCTATCTCAGTCAGTTCATACCTATCTATCTATTCATTTATCTCTCTTAGTCTTTCATATCTATCTATCTATCTATCTATCTATCTATCTATCTATCTATCTATCTATCTCAGTCAGTTCATACCTATCTATCGATCTATCTATCTATCTATTCATTTATATTAGTCTTTCATATCTATCTATCTATCTATCTATCTATCTCGAAGTATCTTAATTTATTTACCCTTAGCCTCAATCTGTTCATGTTTCCATCTCGTTGTCAATGTTTCAAATTTTCTCTCTCTCTCTCTCTCTCTCCCCTCTCAATTTTCTACCACCTCCTTTCTATCTCTATTTCTTTCTCTCTTCTTACTATTCTCTCTTAGTCTTTCTTTATCATCATCTCTCTCTCTCTCGCTCTGTCTTCCTGTCTCTTTTAGTCTGTTCCGAAGTACCTTCCCTCTTTCTTTTTCTCTCTCCCCCGCTCAATCCGCTTTCACCTCCCTTTCTTCCTTAAATTGTTTCTCTCTCCTCACTATCCCTCTCAGTCTTTCTTTGTCTCCATATCTCACAAACTCTATCTCCCCGTTTCACTCAGTCTGTTCATACCTTCAGCCTCTCTCCCCCCTCTCTCTCTCTCTTTCTCTGTCTCTCTCTTTATTCATATATATATATATATATATATATATATATATATATATATATATATATATATATGTTCCTATCTTTCTCTATCTCTCAATGTGTTCATATTCCCCTCTTTTTTCTCTCAGTCTTTCTTTGTTTCCATGTCTCTCAATCTCTATCTCCCTGTCTCTCTCAATCTATTCATAATTACCTTCCGACTTTCTTCATGTATATCCCACTCACTCTGTTCTTTTCTTTCTCTCACTCTCTCTCTCTCTCTCTCTCTCTCTCTCTCAATCTGTTCATATTTCTCTCTGTTTTCAATATTTTTGACCAAATCTTCTCTCCCACTCAGTCTGTTCCCACCTCCCTTTCTTTCTCAATTTGTTTCTCTTTCCTCACTATCTCCCTCTGTCTTTCTTTGTTTCCATATCTTTTAAACTCTGTCTCCCTTTCTCTCTCAGTCTGTTCATACATTCAGACTCTCTCTCTCTCTCTCTCTGTGTTCATATATATCTCTCTAACTCTGTGCCTATCTTTCACTATCTCTCAATCTGTTTATATCCGTCTCTTTTCTCATTGATTTTTTTACCGAATCATCTCTCTCAGTCTATTCACAACTCCCTTTCTTTCTCAATTTGTTTCACTTTTCTCTCTATCTCTCTCAGTCTTTCTATATCTTCATTTCTCTCTCGAATTCGGACTCTTACTCTTTATAGAGCTATTCAAAATGTCGACTTGATTCCTTCATTTCCTCTACCCAACCCGACTTCAATATTCACTTTCCAGCCGATACGAATGTCTTTCGTAATTCAGTCTAATGGCCGCTCTCCCATTGGGAAAAGGCCTACCAAAATCTAAAGTACAATTAACAGACTGATTTTCCTCGAGAATACTAGCAGATACAAACTCTACCCTATTCGAAAAACCTATATATATATATATATATATATATATATATATGTCGGTAATCATTTCAATATCTTTGTTCTATATATGATTGGAATTCGATTTTTTTAAATATTTCTACCTATATTTAAAACCATTGACTGCAGTTTCTAAAATTAATTTACGCATGAAGCAGCTGATTGCAAGACGTTGTTCCTCCTTTCAATGTATAATTATTTATGAAAAAAAAATGAACATATGTACGGCACTCTGCAGACGTATACATACCAAATTACTTTTCTTCGTACTCACAGAAAACAGCGCGTGACTAATCGGCGAATACCAATGAAAGAATTTAGTTTGAAGACTTAAATCAGTCACCGACAAGAGCATTAAAGTTCAAATAAAACTACTGCGTGTCAATTCATAATGGTGGAACATCTCGTTAGCCGCTTCGCGACATTCATTAATTTCACACAATTGTCAAGTTGTCATGAAACCTTACTAAATATATTTACTGTGTCAAAGGCACAGGACAGAACATTTTTCAACGATCTACCCCGATACTGCCGAATAATAGTCCTTGTTTTTTCCGCTATGGCCACGGTATGCGTATTGTACAAGGGGCAATCAAAAACGCCATAGAAGAAATATTTTACAAGAATTATAGGCAGATATTTACATATTTGTTTGAGGCGAAGTAAACTTAGGTCATACAGGTTATTACCAGCATGAACCAGAAGTATTTCACCATAAGACATGGGCCCCAGACAAACAACAATATTCCTACGATGCGTAGTAATGCAATTGTTTGTGTAAGTGGGAACATAGCCACAATTTTCTGTGAATAAGCACTTACCTCACTCACCTATACTAACGCAATAATAAAGTAATATTCTAGGGCGTATCAACATAGGACATAATTAGAACTTACAAAACACAAGAAGGACATTCATGGCAGTACATAATAAATGAACAAGTATCCTCGAAGGAGCAAAGTCTTTGTTTGCTGAGGCTCTGTATTGGATCTAACATCGTTGGCTCTCGTGATTACTTGGTATGCTAATCACACCGGTCAAGGGAGTCAGTTTTAATAGGATTAACAGTTTGTTCGTGCAGCATTACAATTTTGGTAAGCTTTCGTGGAGTAACGTCCATTGCAGACATAGGACAACTAATCGACAGTCGAAACAATAGTGTCTGAGCGTGATGAAAATCAGATGCAATCACGGATGACGCAATATTTTTCAAGGAAAAACAAATTTCATCATACATACCAAAAATAGATCTATATTGCTGCACACCAATGCTAGTAACATAATCTGAGGAAAAAATAGAAATCGATTACAACCTGTCAGTCCAGTGGGACTAAAACTGATCGTGTAGTGAAAGAAACGAAACTAAAGCGGTATGTTCAATTAATTTGCACAAGGGTGTAATTATGACTAAAAAAACACATGAAGGACATTCATGGCATCACGTAAAAAATTTAAACGTATCATCGAAGGCGCTAATTCTTTGTTTGCCGAAAGAAAGAGGTACCGTATTACATCTACCATCTTTGGATCTAGTGATTAATGGCGGCTTTGTCATAATGTATTAAATAAGCGTAAGTTTTTCATATTCGCTCTCTCTTCAATCAATTTCAGGGGTTAACATATTCTGCTGATAAAGCTAAATGTTTCCCGCGTAAATTCTCTTTAAAGTCTGCCTTTGACTCATCTGATATATTCTTGCTAAAACCTTCATTTAGAATTCAGTCTCTGTTGCACATAACATTTTCTATGGGTTCTGCTATCATCTTTAATCTGAATCACCACAAAGCACGTGAACCTGATGGTGTCCTTGTAATAGTCCTTAAGATGTGTGCTCCCGAGCTGGATCCTGTTCTCTCTAAACCGTATAATAAATGTCCCGATGCCTCTTGCATTCATGCTTGTTGTTCTGAAGAAATTGAGATTCATGGCAGCATATAATAAATTTAAACGTATCCTCGAAGGAGCTAAACTGAATGTTTCGCACGTAAATTCCCTTTAAAGTCTGCTCTTGACTCATTTGATATATTCTTGCTAAAAGCATTTAAATCGGGACATTTTTTTGTGAATAAGCACTTACATCACACGCCTATGATAATGCAACATTTCAGTAATAATCTAGGACATAACAACACATTTCTATGACATATTCTAAAAAAAAAACACATGAAGGACGTTCATGGCTGCACGTAATAAATGAAAACGTATCCTTGAAGGAGGAAAGTCTTTGCTTGTTGAGAGAATGAGGCTCCGTATTGCATCTAACAACTTTGGCTCTCGTGGCTACTGTTGTGTTAAATAAGAGTAAGTTTTCTATTCCTCACCTTTTCAATCAATCCCCTGTTTATAAAGTTGAATGTTTCGCCCGTAAATTCACATTAAACTCTACACTTGATTAATCTGGATTATCCTTGCCTAACTTCCCACTTAGAACTGAGTCTCTATTGAGTGATATACATATAATCCTTTCTATGGTTTCTGCTGTCATCTCTAATCTGAATTCCGCCCCCCAAATCATATGGACCTGATGGTATCCCTGTAATAGTCCTTGAGGGGTTTGCTCCCAAACTGGCTCCTGTTCTCTCTAAACCGTATAACAAATGTCCCGATGACACTTGCATTCATGCTTGTTGGAAATCCCCATCTGCAATATTCTAGGTCATAATAACATGGTACTATTGCATAAATTAATAGACTAAAAACACAGAGGAAGGACGTAAATATAATACAGATAATTGAATTGAGTTGTTTTAAACTGCTTGTATATTTATTGACAGTGATGTCGTTGGTTCTCGATAGATGAGATGACGAGGTGTAAGATCTTGTCTGTCTTGCAGTCGTCAGAAACAGCAGCAAATCTGAGGAAGAAAAGAAAACAAACGTGAATTTATTTTTCCTTTTTTTGCGTCGTATGTAAAAGACAAATTAAGATTGCGTTGTAATCATGAATCATCGTAGGTTGGGACTTTCGACTTACTATATATATATATATATATATATATATATATATATATATATATTTATAATTTTTAAAAAAATTTATAACATATATATTATATATGTTATTTATAACATATATATTATATATATTATATATGTTATAAAATCACTACAAAAATAGCCATTTTGTTTCAACACCCTCGGTGTCTTATCAAGTGATGATGTTGAGTGTAAAATAAATGGTTTTAAAAGTTTCAAATTAATTAACGATCCTTCGCAAGGGGAAAACGTTGTTACAAAATCTAGATGGACCAATCAAAATACAAGTATAGAAAAATTCAAAAAGCTTGACAACGAAGTCATGTTATAATATCTATTCAAATGTTTAAAATATAGGTAGTATTAAAAAAGAATTTATTCCAACCAATAATTACTAAATTATATGATAAAATTTAATATTAAAATTAAAAACTGCTAATTTCAAAATCAAAACTTAATTGCTTTTAAGTTTACAACTATAAAATTATTGAGGAGAAAAGAAGAAATATGTTAATATACTTGGGTATATATATATATATATATATATAAGTTTTTTTTTTTCCTTCTCTCGTTTATTGTGTATATTTGCACAGCTTAAAGGAAAACAGGAAATATATATATATATATATATATATATATATATATATATATATATATATATATATATATATATATATATATTGAAAAGTCCACATTGGACGAAACGCGTCGACTACTATTACAGTTTTCCTATTGTCTTTTACATTTATAAATATTGTCTTTTTCTACAGCTTAACTCTGAGAAATATTTATCTATATAAATGTGTATGTGTGTGTGTGTGTGTGTGTGTATAAATTTATTACCACATTAGACTTTAAGATTTTTGTAATTTTATATATATATATATATATATATATATATATATATATATATATAAGACATAATTATACATTCTTTTTATACATACAAATATTTAAGTAAATGCTCTGTTTTATAATAAACTGTATTAAACAATTATTTTTACATTTATAAATAATGTCTTTTTCTACAGGTTAACTCTGAGAAATATTTATCATATAAAATATTCGTGTGTGATAAATTTATTACCACATTAGACTTTAAGGATTTTTGAATATATATATATATATATATATATATATATATATATATATATATTAAGATACTATACATTCTTTTATACATATAAACAGAATGCTCTTTTTATAATAAACTTTGAAACAACAATTACCGGCCTGAATGTCCGAATTTTTCATAAAAATATTCGTCCCCGAAAATCGAACCTGTATCCTATACGGTAAATTTACTTAAATATTTGAATCTATGTATAAATATAAAATGTCTTAAAATAATTGTCGGACTATTTCTATATATATATATATATATATATATATATATATATATATATATATATATATATATATATATATATATCCATGAAAGTAATTATTATTAACACCAACACACGCCTACCCAATTTAAACAATTCGCCCTAGCTGTTACCATGGAAATTTTGATTTCAATTATTAAAACACGTAAATTTTAGAAATACGTTTATCCAAAAAAATTTCGCTTGAAGATGGAACAGAGCTTACTTTAACTCAATTTAATTCAAATAATTATATTGATGTTTTCGGCTCTTGTTTTTGAAACATGAGACCTCTTATGTCGCGAGTTGGAATCACATTTTTAAATAAATAATTATATTTATGCTCTACTTTTGTATCGAGCACTATTTAAAAAAAATAATAACTAAAATACTAAGGGACTTTGGATTATTTACCTAACCAGTTCTTTCCTATTTTCTATACATTTCCACACACACACACACACACACACACACACACACACACATGTATATATGTAATATTAATGGTCATATATATATATATATATATATATATATATATATATATATATATATCCAAGAGATAAAAATACAACCAAGAATATATATATGTAATATTATACATATATATATCATATATATATACATCATTTTATATATATATTATATATATTGATATTATAATATTAGATATATATTATATATAATATTATATATGTATAATATTATACACATATATTATATATATATATTATAATATTATATATATATGCGCGCGCGCGTGTGTGTGTATGTGTGGATTACTCAATGAAAACTTAACAATACAAAAGGAAAAATACCAGAATTTCTTTCTTCATTTTCTCCATATCTCATTCTCTGAGGAAACATTACTAAAAGTGAAACAATTTAGACTTATAAACATTTCTTATTTATTCTTTATCTTATCCTTCTCTTAGATTCTGATATGTATTTGGTCCTGACTGCAGGATGTGTACCAGCCGCCCTTTGCTGTCAGATGTGGCACAAGGCCGAATTTAATGTGGTGTATCCTAGTCCGTAGGCTCGGCCAAATATTCTCCGTAGACCCCTATAAAATGAGGTCGGTTAGCTGTTTCCCGAGACGGACTCTGCCCTTCGACAGAGCCTCGTCTGGGGATCCTCTCTGCCCGGAGGCAAAGAGTTTGACCAGCACAGCTGGAGACGAATCCCTGACTGCAGACCAACATACAGTATTTACTACTGTATTTGTGGGTAATTCAGTTCTCCTGTCGTTTGCGATGAGTGAAATGGATTAAAGTGCTTGCTTTCTTTTCTAGTCCTCCGCTCTAACAACTGAGCTGTCGCGAGTGACCTCTTCCTTATTCTCTCGTTCTCGTTTAGAACGCACGGACGCCAACAAACCTTCTCCCGTCTTCCTCACTGACTCGCTATTTATGCCTGCATCAGGGGCAACTAAAATTTGCATATGAGACTTACTTCTCGTTCGCCCGAGACTTACTTCACGTTCACCCGAGACTTAATTCTCGTTTGTCCGAGACTTACTTCACGTTCGCCCGAGACTTACTTCTCGTTCGCCCGAGACTTAATCTCGTTCGCCCGAGACTTACTTCACGTTCGCCCGAGACTTACTTCTCGTTCGCCCGAGACTTACTTCACGTTCGCCCGAGACTTAATTCACGTTCGCCCGAGACTTACTTCTCGTTTGCCCGAGACTTAATTCTCGTTCGCCCGAGACTTAGTTCTCGTTCGCCCGAGACTTAATTTTCGTTCGCCCGAGACTTACTTCTCGTTCGCCCGAGACTTCCAATTTTATAAATTCAAGCTAGTTTCAATTCTTAGTCTCTTTTATATTTTTTTCCATTGTACGTCTGCCCGCGATATAGGAATTTCGGTACAATCTATTTTATTTTTAATACCGATCGCGATCTTTCAACAGGACCTGACACGCCAATCAAATTCGCTTTGCGGGAGGTAGGCTCTTCTCGTTCCTCACAGTATTTATATGAATGGGTTCATATCCATTATCGTCCGTAGGTATGCTACAACAGAAATAAAATCAAAATAATACATATAATTAAATTCAATTGCTTTAAGTGGCTTGTATTTTTATTGACAGTGATGTCACTTGCTCTTGGTAGACGAGATGACGAATCGTAAGATATTGTCTCTCTTGCAGTACTCAGAAACAGTAGCAAATTTGGGGAAGAAAGGAAAACGAACATGAATTTGTTTCTCTTTTTTTATCGGGGACTCACCAACTTGTAGATTAACGCGAAAATGTCCTTATCTCTTACAGGTTAACTCAATATGTATAGCCATGTGTACACGTTTGAACCATTATCTATTGTATCAATCACAGATCCAAGCTTAAAGCACAAGCAGTCACATGTCTAGGTATTGACCAGGCTCGACGTTGCTTAACTTGGTCGAAGATGAAAAGAATCCACTCAAAGAAAAACAAAGCAGGTCAGGAGGAAAGTTTACAGCTACAGTTTGGCTTTTTAAATTTTTTGGAGGGGGAAAAGACATCTGCTTATTACGGAAGTGTTTTGAGAAAATTAGCTAAGAGATTCCGTAAAAAAGAAATTAGTCTTATCAGAGAATCTTTTCCCGTTCACGACAATGCACCTGTTTTCGTTGACTGATAAACGCCTCGCGTTCATTTATGGCATAGGTATGTATGCTTCTATCAATCGTTGGTGGCGTCGTGTGCCTACCTCATGACGTCTTTGTGTGGGTTTAATACTTGCTAATGCTACCGTAAATTTAACTGGGTTAAGAAACTGGCTATATAGTTTGTTTGTCTCTTTCTTTTTTCAGTGACGTGTCCCCCTGTACAAGGAGAGGTGGTCACTCTAGATAGAGGGGTTAAGCAAAGAGGCAGTTTTTTTACGAATAGGATGGGGGAAAGGTAACGGTTAACACTAGATTTGAACAGGTTAATCGGAAAAACACCCACTACAGAGCAGCGGTTCACAGGAAGAAGATGTTTGTTTGGAACTCACATCTCCCAAATGGAATATGAAAGGAAATGGGGGGGGGTGACAATTTGTGCAGCATGCCGTGTCTTGAAAATGGTGGTACTAAAGGAATTAGTTCGTCGGAACACTTTCCATGGAAATAGCGATAGAACAGTGAGAGGCTTCCAACATATGTCTGTGAGAAAGGGGTTGTAGGGTGCAAAATAATTCATCACCCATAAGGACGCGGAGACTTTTTTGCACTCTATGGAGACTTTTGTCAAACTACATCATTTATGTTCATCAAAAAATTGTTTGGCACTTTACTGATGAATGCCAAATGGAATTGAAATGTATTGCTGGTATCTTTATTGTTTTATAGTGTTTCGTTTTTGTTTGGGAGTTCACTATTTGCCCATAGCTGGGATCCTAACAGGTGTTACCACCCCTTGTCAGGGTGGACCTGGGAACAACAGCAATTAAGAGGTGTTTCCATGCTCCTCAAAACTTCCAGTCTCCTGATCAGAGGCTTTGCTGCCGGATATTGTTTATTGTCATACCCAGGACTATATATACATTTGGTGATCAATCAGTTTGCATTGTTCAGATAATCTCACATTTTGAGTAACACTTTGTACTTATATATAATTGTAGTGGAATAATTCTATAGTAATCATCATCAATTTGTTCTACCTTCAAATGTAACTTTTTGACATTACAACTTGTCTACCTACATCATTTATGTTCATCAAAAGATTGTTTGGCACTTTGCTGATGAATGTTAAATGAAATTAACATTATTGATGAGAATCTTCCCTGTCCAGAGCTTCTGAATGTAATCCATGTTGAAATTTAAAAAAAAATGAATAATGTTTTTCAGATAAGACAGGGTTGAATGCAACTATTTAATTATTTATTTGTTCTCTTATCAGCTTGAACTATCTGACAAGTGAGGCAAACATTTTATGATATTTGGAGCTTTAATTTTTTTAAATTTTTATTACAATCTTTTTCACCCTGTACAAGGCCTAAGAGCTACTCAATGTAGAGATATAACAGAATAAGAGGTACATTAAATGGAGATGTGTAAGGAAGATTATGGCTGACTCTAGACAGGCCAATCTATCTATCTATCTATCTATCTATCTATCTATCTATCTATCTATCTCATTCTATTCATATCTGTCTCAGTATATTCCTATCTATCTATCTATCTATCTATCTATCTATCTATCTATCTATCTATCTATCTATCTCATTCGGCTAATAATCTATCTATCTATCTATCTATCTATATATCTATATATATATATATATATATCGTTAACTTCTCTCTTAATTCCTAACCTGTTATTGGTCTCTCTCCTTAATAAAGTTTTTTTTCTTATCTTTTTAAAACCCAGTAACCCCCTTGCGTCTTAGTAGCTACATTGCCTTGTTTGGGGCGAAGTTATTAAAAAGTATAAGTGTTCTTTTTATTTCTATTCTCGGTAAAATTTCCTCATTAAACACGTGTTCAGTCCATTGTATTCTCAACATCCTTCTGTAGAAACATATTTCTAATGTCTCAAATTTCTTCTCCGGTGAGAAGATTGTTCTTATAAATGTATATTATCTCTGAAAACCGTATATATTCACCGCCTAGCATTCACGGCCATTTTTCTTGCTTCTTAATTCTTTGCTTAGCTTTTGAAAGTCATCTTTCCCTATTTTTTTTACCTTTTTTTACTGTCTCCGTGCACATAAGCGTGGAACTGTTAGTGTATATTAACTCTATGATAATGAGGATAGATATTGGAATTGGATGTGTGAGACCAGGTTACACCCTCTGAAATTAATTGTGTACATTAGGTTCTGTTATCACGAATATTGGTGATGTGAAAAATACGTTTGGCGAGTGTTTAATATTAATATCTCTTCCTGGTTCTTTGAATCAATTGATAGGTCTGCTGATAAGGAAGTGCTGGAGAATTTTTAAATTGATTCAATTATTCTGGTCAAATGAAGGTTGTCTTGAACGGCAATTCTTCTAGATCTAAGATGAATGGAAAGATTAGATTGAAACAGTTGCAGGCCTGTTGCTGAGAAATGTGGCTTATTGTGTCGTACTAGACGATTTATGATTTGTTTCCAAAGCGGCTGTGGTTAAGATTAGGGTCAGCAGGGTTGGGTTTCGAGTTTAGGGTACGGCTAAGTTTAAGGTTAGGTTTGGGGGTTAGAGTTAGGGTAGGATTTAGGTTGGTGTTTGGTTTAGGCTTAGGTTTAGAGCAATTTTAAGCTTAGGGCTATTAAGTTGTGGTTATTTGGTTCATGTTAGGATTAGACTTGGTTTGGCTGGAGTTAAGGTTAGGTTTGGGGTTGGGTTAAGGGTAAGATTAGAATTAAGGGAAGTCAGAGTCATGGTTTCTATTATCATTATCATTTCCCGAAATAAAGATAGTCTAGAATGGCGACTCGTCTGGATCTTTTTACATTAATGCGGGTGACTCTCAGGCCTAATTCTTGGACATACTTTCTTTCTTCTCTTAATCATCGACTTCCCAGATGTCACCAGTTCTCGGTTCTTAATGGTAAATCTGGTCGATTCGATACGGTTAACTTGGCAGCTGATCTAAAAAAAAAAATGACTATGGATCTCTTGTTAACTGGGGTAAGAAATACTTTCGTAATTTTAACGCCTCGAATACGAAACAGCTCTTTTTAATCGTCAGGGAGAACAGTTTATAAACTTCTATCAGTATGGGTAATGCTAACTCCGAGTTCAAAATTATACACAAAAGGCGCTCACGTTATATTCCTCCAGTAATTTTTACAGATAATGTTCACAATAAAAAGAAAAGCTTCCGTCTGTAGTCAAGCTGTTAATCTGTCGACACGTTAAATAAACAGCTACCTCTGTCTTAAAAATTCATTTTTGCGATATTTTATACTAAAAGGTAATATTTGATTCAAATCAGATTAATTAAACTTTCGATTTGCTAATATTCTTCAAATAAAGTTTCAGAAAACGGGGAAGGAGGAGCAAGTCAATACGAAAAAACTTTTTTTTTATGACCGAATAAAAGTAATTTATTAGATATTTAAAACTTAATTAGTGAATATTTTTCTTCAAATAAAGCAATTGAAAAAATAATATGTGAAATATGACGCAGTTCTTCTTCTTAATTAAAAATAGAAAATTATTAGAAATTTATTTTTAAAAAAGTAAATTGACATATAAAAACATGCTTTTTTTAAAAATATGTTTTAATTAATTAAATTGAAAAATGCAAAACAAGAATTTGGTTTCAATTATTTTTAATAAAGTAAATTGTAATGTAATTAATTTTTTCATAAAGTAAATCGAAATTCTTATTTTTTTTATGAGCTAATTAATAATGAACTGACTGAGAGAGATATAGAGAAAAAATTTTTTTTACAATATGTCAATATTTTTCTAAATACTATTTGTTGATATACAAAATGATACAAATGTGTATATATATATATATATATATATATATATATATATATATATATATATATATATATATATATATATATATATCAAGACAGACCAAGTGGCGACATTTATGGCCTGAAGATAGTGTGGGCTCACCAGTTATTTACCATCGCCTGAGGAGTCACAATTTTAGCACTGAGACATGAAAGATAGTATGTAGCGGTTTTTAACATGTTTTTGTTTTAATCTTATATAATAAATTATATATATATATATATATATATATATATATATATATATATATATATATATTTATTAAATCAAAAACTGAGGAGACGCATTGATATTCGTTGAAATTTGTGTAGCGATTTTTAACAATGCTTTTGATTTAATATCCTGAAATAAATAATATTTTGCTCTACTCTGTATTGAGCACTCTCTCTAAACTAAATGTTACGAACGTTGGAATTACACTCTATTCGTTCTCATCTTACCTATATATCTATATATATATATATATATATATATATATATATATATATAGAGAGAGAGAGAGAGAGATAGATAGATAGATAGATAGATAGATAGATAGATAGATAAACATATAGATAGATAGATAGATAGATAGATAGATAGATAGATAGATACAAAAACACGGATAGATAGATAGATAGAAATAGATAGATAGATAGATAGATAGATAGATAGATAGATAGATAGATAGATAGATAGATAGATAGATACAAAACACGGATAGATAGATAGATAGATAGATAGATAGATAGATAGATAGATAGATAGATAGATACAAAAACACGGATAGATAGATAGATAGATAGATAGATAGATAGAAGATAGATACAAAAACACGGATAGATAGATAGATAGATAGATAGATAGATAATGCTTCCAATTTCCAATTTCAACAGATGTCAGCTGGATTGAGCAGGATTTAATCTGCAAAAGACTTTTTTTTTTCCTTATCGTCTGATATGTTTGCCTCTGTGTTTTGCCTTCGTTTATTGTCAACCGTGTTGGACGCTTGCCCAGAAAGTGGCTTGTCATAATCATATTATTTCCGTTGTTTATAAAACATTCGGCAATATTGACCAGGCCTAGGGTGGGGGACACCAAACGCCCAGTAAAACTCATTTAGGGTCAGTCGGTGCAATTTTTTCCCCGCGAAAGAAATCAATGACACGCATTTCATTCTTGCATACATTCATGTCACAGATCATTCTGCCTATCTGCAGTCTGCAAGAACATATATTATATAATCATGGGCTATTAGATGGAAAGATATACATACATACAGCCATATATATATATATATATATATATATATATATATATATATATATAACGAAATGGATAAATATTTACCAAAATTACACCTGATGAATGCAGGAGTTATACACACACACACACACACACACACACACACAAATATATATATATATATATATATATATATTTATATCTACTCTGTGTTGAGTCCTCTTTTTTAAATTCAATTTACGTACAGTGGAATTATACGCCACTTGTTCTCATTGTCCCGGTATATGTCTGTGTTTATATATATATATATATATATATATATATATATATATATATATATATGTATATATATATATATATATATATATATATATATATATATATATATATATATATATATATATATATATATTATATATATATATATTTGTGTGTGTGTGTGTGTGGCGTCTGCTTTATCTATAGACAGACAGGATCAGAAAACTTACAGATATAGATAGATAGATAGATAGATAGATAGATAGATAGATAGATAGATAGATAGATGTTAAGAAAGAAAGAAAGAAAGAAAGAAAGAATTATTGTGATAGCGAAAGAACAATGTTATATATAAAGTTTGGCCAGACAGAAAGAAAGAAAGAAAGAAAGAAAGAAAGAAAGAAAGAAAAGAAAGAAAAAAGAAAGAAAGGAAGAAAAAAGAAAGAAAGGAAGAAAAAAGAAAGAAAGAAAGAAAGAAAGAAAAAAGAGATTAAAAGTCATTGAGAGATAGATACCGAGAGAAGAACAGTCAAATTCATAGAAAGACTTCAGAATGAAAGAAAAGAAGAAAGAAAGAAATTAACATGCATTGAAACAGACAGGCAAACAGACAGAGAGAGAGAGAGACAGAGATAGAAAGAGAGGAAGAATCTTATAAAGTTCGGACAGAAATAAATTAAGAAAGAAAGAAAGAAATTAAGAAAGAAAGAAAGAAAGAAAGAATCACATAGAAAAATAGGAGATAAGAAATTAGACAGATGTAAAGAGACAGTAAAAAATGTTAGTATAAACAGAAGAGGCCTGGGAGACAGACAGACAGACAGAGGGTTGATATATAGATTTAACTGCGTACGTGAAAGATGCTGTGTTTGTAGTTATTCTTTCGCATGAACACAAATTTGACTTATAGCATATATTTGAATATTCTTAGGAAAGTTCTTCCGACTTTGTGAGTCGATATATTTTGTTAACATCACCTACGCAGAAAAAAAATCAATAAATCGAACCAACTTTACCACGATAATTGCTTTTACTTAACAGAAATAAAGCTCCAATCATACGAGCTACAACTGCATACAACGTAGTCTTCAGGCAATATCGATAAATACAAAGAGATACCCTCTGGCACGCTGACTAATATATACATACATACATACATATATATATATATATATATATATATATATATATATATATATAGATAGAGAGAGAGAGAGAGAGAGAGAGAGAGAGAGAGAGAGAGAATTAATGAAAGAGTTTTCACTTAACTTGTCTTTCTTCGGAGTTTCGTGTCTTTATACGAATAACTATTTGTTGGAACAGAGTTAATCTGCAGAATATTATATTGTCATTTTATATCCTTTGATTTCTGTTATATACACGTTTCTTTCCGGGTTTCAACCAGAGAGCTAAGATCAGAAATTGTCTCATAACATTTTCCAACGATCATTTTTTTATAAATTTAAACACCAAAATACCCTAAGATCAGACACGTTTTGCATGCAAAACGCTCTTCGTAATGCGTCTGCTGTCCTTGTGAGTACGAATTTTATTTTGGTATTTCTCTAAGGCATTTTGCCAACAGGAATCCCTTCAATGAGTCTATCGGGACCGTTTCCAATCAATCCGAGTGCTCCAACTATAACTGGAATTGTTGCTGGCCTCAGGTGCCACATTTTTAAGATTTCCATTTCAAGATCCTTGCATTTTCATAGTTTTTCAAGATCTCCAAAAATACATTACAATCTGAAGAGACTGCCATATCAATAAGGAACCACGTTCTGTTCTTGTGGTCTTTGATCACGATGTATGGGCGCTTAGTTTTGATTGTTCTGTCTGTGTGTCTTTGTAAAGCCCCATAAAATTGCTACAGGTCTTATCTCTGTAACCGGGTCTGGGTAATGTTCGTACCAGATTTTATTATTATTAGGTTGGTGCAAAAATAATGACGTAACAATGTCGTTTTTTTATATATTTTTTAACGTCAAAAAACGACATTATTACGTCATTATTTTTGCACCAACCTAATATTATTATTATTAATGTATATTATGTCTCCTGCTTTGTATCCCGTAGAGCCAGGTCCAAACTATGGGCCTTAGCCTCTATAGGAGAATTGTCATTTAAATGATAGCACTTTTCTTACTATATGGGATGTTTCTAGAAAGGCGATCGGCTGGGAAACTTGTATGTTGATGTTAGCTGGGGCAATGTTAGTAACTTGTTAATTCCTTTTCTCATGAGGCCCAGAGCTCCGATTAGTATTGGGAGAGTCTCAGTCTTCATTTCCCAGATCCGGCTAATCTCGATCTGTAAGTCCTTGTATTTGGGCAATTTCTCAATACTTTTCATGGAAGTGTTTCTCTCAGATGGTACTGCTGTGTCAATAAGCAGACACTTCCAGAATTTCTTGTCTTTTATGATAATATCACGTCTGTTGGCTTTTATTTCCCTGTCAGTTTTAATTGGCATGTCCCAGAGGATAGTTACATCGTTATTTTGAGTAACTGCGTCTCTTACTGATTTCGATTTTGTGCTTCTTGTATATCTTCCAGTGTACGTGTGTATATTCCAGTTCCGGATATCCTGAGATAATATGATCGACACTTTCATCATATTTTCCACAGATCCTGCATTTCGGGTTAGTTCCATCCGTGATAATATGACAGTGACAGGATCTGAGTGTGAGGCTTTGATCCTGAGTTGCAATAATTAGGCCTTCTCTCTCAGCTTTCAGCACGGTGCTAATGTGTTTTCTATTAGTCAACACCTGCTTCTTTGGTTCTTTTTAGGTATTTGCCATGCAACGGCTTATCCTCCCATTTTTATTTCTAACTAGCAGCATGGCCCGGCGTTGCCCGTGCTTGATTAAAAAATAATACGACTCATACAGCAATCTTGACCTAAAATATTTTTGCCCTTCCTTGCCTTTAAAGGAATGCCCTTTGCCGCGCTGATGTTGCTACATGCCTTACTTCTTGCCTATCTCACACTGCGACTTTTTTCTAAGCTCTATACTAAACATTAAATCTGTTACGAAAAAAGAACTAAAGAAAATGAACAAAAACGATCAGCTTTAAAAAGGACTCGTAACTGGAAAACCGAATGAAAAAAAGAATGTTAACAACAAATACTTTTTCACACCCAACCCAGTTCTGCGGAATCAGAATCAACGTTGAGTTTAAGCAAGCGAATGAGCCAATTGTAGTAAAGTGCCATGCAGATTTAAATTTTTCCCACTTTTGACGAATGCAGCTATCGATTTTTTTTGCACGTTAGCATGCTAGTTAACATTCGTGTCAGTCAGCTGTTGGCTCTCACGCTGGCCAGTAGAATTTTCCTGCCTATTCGTAGCAGCCAGCTCTAGGCTCTCACTCTGGCCAGCAGAAAATGGCCGCAAACTACATGAAAACCGCCGTAGAAGCATAAAAAAATCGATTATTTCCACTATCGATTGAAGTTGGGAAATACAAAGTAGGCCTCGGCCTTTCCGCATGTGCATGTAAATTTTGGTGCAAATCCGTCGAAAATTGCGGCCGTGCATTCGTTACACACGCACGCACGAACACGCACACACACACACACACACACACACACACACACACACACACACACACACACACATCCTGCCTTTTATAGATAGAGATTTCAATTGGACAAGTTGTTTTGCTTTCCGTTTAACTCTTTAGTCATAGATAGTATTCGCTTCGATTTTTTTTCATTTTTTTTTTTGTAGGATTTCAGATATATTAAGCTGTATCCTGAAGAGTCCAGCTTTTTACTATTTCTAGGAGAGGATCATTGGTTTTTGCGAGGTAGGTTTCCAGTCTGATTATGAGGAGGCACGGTGGTGTAATGGATAGCGGCTTGGATTGAGGAATCGGAGAGCTGAGTTCGAATTCCAGTCGAATCCATTACATTCACTTACGTGCTAACATCCTTGGGAAAGGTGTGAATCCTCTTTCTTCTCCCTCCAGCTATGGGTAAATAGCAGGACAGACTGGGTTCTATAGCCTTGGGTGGCAACTGGTCTAGGAGAAGGAAAACTCTGAATTCAAAACCTGCTCTTAGATGAGGGTGAATGGAGTCTCTCTGAGCCTTGGTTGGCAATCCATTTAGTGATGGTGTCACGATAAAAAAACACCCTTGATAGCCCTAGCGAAGTATCAAGAATTCAGCTATTTGATAAGATTATGAACTACACCAATCAAAGTATTGGTGAGTTCAATCTCGGCTGAGGCCGCGTGATGAGTCCTATTGCTGTAGTTTTTAGGGTTAGTACAAGTTGGATTGGATCTCGGCCACCTAAAGCTTTTGAACCGTACTTGATTTCGGGTACTGCATCCTCATTTGGGTAAGCATTTTTCTGGTCTTGCCTTCCAATCTTTTAATGTCATTCAACTTCCATTTAATAATGATTTGTATGTTTACATTACAGTCGACTGAACAACAGTCGTCATAACGAAATAATTTATCAAATACCAATACGTATACATATCTACCTCATATATCTCTCTCTCTCTCTCACACACACACACACACACACACACACACATATATATATATATATATATGTAGAGAGAGAGGAGAGAGCGAGAGAGATAACGAGGGAGAGAGAGAGAAGAACGAATATAGATTTTAAAACATAAACTTAAATGAAAGTTTATTTCTTGTGAATGCGCAAATATGTGAATTATTTTTAGAATACAGTGTAACCCGGATATAAGAGACCCGGATATAAGAGACACCCGGATATAAGAGAGACATTCTCTGGTCCCAAATTAGATCCTGTGTTAATGTATATAAAACAGACCAAGCCCGGATATAAGAGATACCCGGATATTAGAGACTTCTTCTCCAGTCCCGAAAACTCTCTTATATCCGGGTTACACTGAAACAATGTCTCTATTAATAAAAACATTTACAAATATATATAAATGTTATTTCTCTCATCACATATATATATATATATATATATATATATATATATATATATATGTATGTATATGTATGTGTGTATGTATGTGTTTTGATGGGTCTACCTATGCTTTCTTAGTATGTAAAATAGATAGTTTAGTTAATAAAACAAGTTCAAACAAAAGGGTATCGATATAATCAGTACGAAAAACATTTATTAAATATCAATTATTAACCATATGACAAATGAACCCCGAAAAGAAAGGTTTTAAGTCCGGAATTTTCGGACACGCCTGTGTCCTTCTTCAACGGACCGTGTAAGGTGTTGCGAGCCTTCATTTTATGGGCCCCGTATTAATATTATTATTACGCATATTAAATATTCTACACAAATTTCAAGATACCTTTTCTTGTGAGAGATATTTAATTATATAATGTTGTTTGTTTATTATTAGTTAATGTTGTTTTTTCTTAGTTTTTGTTCTGTTTATTTCGTTTTACGGCATATCAACCTGAATGAATTATTTAATGCCGACTAGATTTTAGGGTATGCCCCAATGAATATAAAATGTATTCTTTGAAATCAGTTTGTAGATCAGGTTTTATTGTCGTATTTTTGTAAAGAGGATTGTATTAGTTTGTTGATTGTTTCTTGATGTTGTTTAGCGGCATATCAACACCTCAATGGATTATTTAATGCCGACAACATTTTTAGGATAGATACGTATGAATAGAATATGTATTCTTTGGTTTAGATTGGTTTGGTTTATTTTGTTTTACGGCATATCAACATCTCAATGGGTTATTTAATGCCGACAACATTTTTGGATAGATTCGTATGAATACAATATGTATTCTTTGTAAGAAATTAGCTTGTAGATCAGGTTTCATTGTCGTATTTTTGTAAAAAGAGTTGCATTAGTTTGTTGACTGTTGATTTTGTTTAGAGGCATATCAACACCTCTATGGGTTATTGAATGCCGAGAAGATTTTTATAGCATTAACGATGGATTGTTCCACTTATGTTGTGGTTGGTCTGCTTTTGTTTATGTTACAGCATATCAACCGTAATGGGTTATTTAATGACAACATTTTTTATTACTTCTAATATTTTTTTGTTCAAAAATGTATTGCTGTGAATATTTTATCTTCAAAAATGCATTGCTCGTTTCGGGGTCAACTATAGCTGGTACCCTAACAGGTGCTACCACCCTGGGCCAGGGTAGACCTGGGAAAACCAGCCATTAACTGGTGGTTCCATGATCTTGAAATCTGTTGTGGATTCCGTGTTGAAATCCGGTACCAATAAATAATAAACGCCAAGAATGAATATAGGAAAATAATGTATTAACGTAATAATACAAACTGGTAATGCAGGTTAGTAGTTCCAGGAATACGGGTTAGTAGCAAAATATCTATAACAGTCTTTGGCATTGAAATATCTCTGTTTGACTTCTTACTGAGTCTACGTGCTCTCTTACTGTGACTCTTGCTCGCTACGTTCGTTCGGTCTGTCTGTTACCTTCACCCTCTGTTCCCCTCCCGGGACTTCACGTAGCAGTAGTATATGTATATACTGGGTGAGTCCATTTGTGTAAAAAGGGGAGGACCCCCTCAACAAAGTCCTTCTGATTAGAGGCCTTGCTGTTGGATATAGTTTACCGTCTTACCCAGGGCGATGCTTGTTTTTCCTGGGGGTTCACTATTTACCCATAGCTTGGACCCTAACAGGTGCTACCACCCCGAATCAGGGTGGACCTGGGAACACCAGCAATTAAGAGTTGGTTTCACGCTCCTAAAAACCACCTGATCAGAGGCCTTGCTGTTGGACATAGTTTTTCGTCTTACACACGACGTGTTTTTCTTTTCATATGCTACCGACTAATAGCTTCTAAATAATTGACTAATTCCGCGCATTTGGCTGCTGTAGAGTATTTTAGTATTATTTAGATCGCTGTATTTCGCTTCTTCGTGATATGTCGATCGATATATACACGAATCGTACCAAGTTTCGACAAGTGACAAGTCAACCCACGAGGGAGTGTTGTTCATGGGTGGCCGATGTATGAATTTTCCTTACGTGATACGTACCGACGAATTATATGTAAATTGACCTTTTTCGTCCCGTTTATAATTAATGTGCATCTGGTTACGATGAAATAAAATAATGATTCTGATTATTAATACAACTGCCTTGACGCAGCTAAGTTCAAATTAATACCATTAATTCCACTAATTAATTTCTACAGATATTACATTCCAATAAAACCATATAACGGCATCCCAGCCTCGTTTCATCGGATTTGGTCAGCGTCGAAAACGTGGGAGCTGGACACACTGCCAGGATGTGCTATCTGTGGGTGCAATTTTAACAATATGAGATACGCAGACGACATGGCGTTGAGGATGGACAGACACAGAAAACTAGGAATTGCCGATGGGAACATTTGTCAGGTTACTCGTATCACTATTAATTTGCAGGTATCTAGTAATGTCTTCTTTCTTTCATTCTTTTTTTATCTATATATCTTTCTATGTAATTAATTTCTCCAGATATTGCTGTTCGTAATCTATCTATCTATCTATCTATCTATCTATCTATCTATCTATCTATCTATCTAACATTTTTGCTATCAAATAATCTTGTATTTTTCTTTGTTTCTTACTTCCTTTCTTTGTTTCTGTCTGTCCTTTTTCTTATCTCTCTCTCTCTCTCTCTCTCTCTCTCTCTCTCTATATATATATATATATATATATATATATATATATATATATATATATATATATCCATCTCAATTGTATTCCTATCTATCTATCTATCGCATCTATTTAAACCTAGTATACTGTTTTAATATTTTATCACAACATATGACAAATTTTAATTCTCACTCAAACACGCGCATATACATACGCCATATACGTGTGTGTGTGTCTGTGTGTGTGTGTGTGTGTGTGTCTGTGTGTGTGTGTGTGTGTGTGTGTATAGGAATGTCTGTTCATGTCGGCAGGTGTGATACTGTGCGTGAATGTTTCCGTGTGATTTTATGTAATCAATAAATACATCCAGAATTTTATGTCTAGTCAACTGTTATATTACAGTCGACTGAACAACAGTCGTCATACCGAAATAATTTTTCAAATACCAATACGTATACATATCTATCTCATATATCTCTCACACACATGCATGTACGCACAAACACACAAATATATATATATATATATATATATATATAGAGAGAGAGAGAGAGAGAGAGATAAAGTGGGAGTGAGAGAGAAGAATGAAAGATATAAATATATAATATAAAATTTAAAATATAAACTTAAAAGAAAGTTTATTTTTTTTGAGGATGCGTGAATATTTTTAAAATATGAAAACAATGTCTCTACTAATAAAAACATATACAAATATGCATAAATGTTATTTCTCTCATCATATATATATATAATATGTAAATATTTACACATACATACATATATATATATATATATATATATATATATATATATATATATATATATATATATATCTTGATCAGACACCGAGGGTGTTGAAACAAAGTGACTATTTTTGTAGTGATTTTATAAAATATTTATGTTATAATTTTTTTAAATGAATAATTATATCTGCTCTACTTTGTATTGAGCACTCTTTTAAGAATAGTAATTGGTGGTTATTGGAATTCATTCCATATACACCAATCATTTATATATATATATATATATATATATATATATATATATATATATATATATCAAGTATATATATATATATATATATATATATATATATATATATATATATATATATATATATATATATATATATATATATATATATATATATATATATATATATATATATATATATATATATATATATATATATATATATATATATATATATATATATATATATATATGTATGTATGTGTTTTAAACGGTCCACCTGTGCTTCTTATTATGTAAAATAGTTTAGTTAATAAAATAATGTCAGACGAAAGGTTACCAACATAATCAGTAAGAAAAACATTCATTAAATATCAATTATTAACCATATCACAGAAATGAAGAAAGGAAAGACAGGTTTTAAGTCCGGAATTTTCGGACACGTCTGTGTCCTTCTTCAATGGACAGAGAAATAAACAAAAAAGTGGGAATTACTCACTAACAGATGTTTTTTGTGGACGGTATATTTTTTGGTGGAGATCATATTATTAGCAAAAAACCGATCTCTGTCTGATTCCTCGACGTGCGAAACTTTTTATGAAAATGAACTTAAATTTAAATTTTTGATTCGCTGTAAAAGCGTTAGGCCGATCTATTATTGTCATTAGTGGTGGGATTGCGGGTGTGAGATTGTAAACATAGATGAAGAGAGTTATAGGTTGCGGGATGGAGAAGATGTATCGCGTGTGGTCTGTTTAGCCGAAAATTGTTCGTCTAAGTTGTCTATTTCAGAACGAAGGGCTATACTTTAGAATAACTTGTCAATTTCAGACACATGGGCTGTAGTTAGGGTCACATCTGACGAGATAAAAAAAAAGTGTGTCAGAACAAAGGAAAAAACATATAAATATAAATAAATGAAATAAAAAGAAATATATATATATATATATTTAATGTGAAAATAATTCTACATGCATTTAATTCTAATACATTTACTTGTTCTTAAAAGAAATATAGTATATTAAAAAATTAAAAGTGAAAATATTTTTCAAATCGTAGTTAAATTAAATGTATTCTAACCTAAACATCCACCAAAAATCCTTAAATATACAAATAGAAAAAAATGCCGTAAGAACTTTTGCCGCTAACAATAAAACTTTAAAAAAAATCTAGACGACATGCATTTAACGGATGTCAGATTTCATTGAAAAATACATCCCTACCCCCCTACCGAAACGTAACTAATAACTGATACATCAAAATACAGCTATAATGAACACGCAAACACCCCTTTTCTGGTTGAATTGGATTTCTCTGTATCCTTGGAAACGTGAATTATGAAGTAGGTGTCTTTAAAACTCAGTAATTTTCGAAGTTACTCCAAAATTCGCTTGAGGATGAAATGGAACTAAGGACTTTAATTTAATTACAAAATTAAATTCGAAGCTTTCGGCTTCCATTTTTGAAACTTGGTTAGAACTGTGTAGCGAAAAAAAACATATTTAAAATCAACTAATTTATAATATTAATGCTCTGTAAATTTACATTGAGCACTTTTTTGTAAATATAAAAATATTTATAAGAACACCGATGTATATATCTCTTTTACTGTTCTTTCTTTATATATATATATATATATATATATATATATATATATATATATATGTATGTGTGTGTGTGTGTGTGTGTGTGTGTGTGTGTTAAAATAGCAGGACTGACTGGGTTCTATAGCCTTGGGTGGCATCCGGTTTGGGAGAAGGAAAACCCAGCCTGGAAAGGTTTGTGATTCGTCAGGCTATCTTGCCCAAGAAACACAACTTCTACCGCAGCTGCAGTACATGGGATGCACCTATATATATATATATATATATATATATATATATATATATATATATATATACTACCTACACAGCTTTAAGAATAATTTAAAGGTTCGTGTAAAAATTTTATGACTTAATGATATTTTATCCGTCTGTTTATGAATACATGCTGTAAAATAAAGCCCCACAATTACCTTGATAAATACCTCTGGGACTGAAACACGTTGGTAGATGAAAGTTTTCTTTTGTCATTATTCATATATGTGCTTAGACACACACATTAATTTACACACATACACGCACATACACATACACGCACATACACATACAGACACACATACACACAAACACATACATACACGCTTAGACACATACTCAAATGCACACACATACACACAAAAGCGCACACACGCATACATTATATTACGCGCACACATACAAATACACATATGTTTGTGTGTGGGCGTATGTGTGTCTGTCTGTGTTTGTGTGTGTGTGTGTGTGTGTGTGAGAGAGAGAGAGAGAGAGAGAGAGAGAGAGAGAGAGAGAGAATTAATTTGAGAGATTGTTTTATATTTGCAAATTTTTACGATTCTGCCTATCCGAAGGGAAACTATTTATATATATTTATTTATATGAATAAAGTCAAAAGGGAAAATTAACTTAGTATCTGTCTATATTTCTGAGATGAGATATTATGTACATTATTTACATTATTCGGACTAATGTCCTCATCTTTGTCGCCATATTTATTACAACGTTTCGGCCGTTGTACGCTCCGGCCTTCTTCAGTATTTGTCTATATTTCTGAGATGAGGTATTATGTACATTATTTATATTATTCGGACTATTGTCCTCATTTTTGTCGCCATATTTATCACAACGTTTCGACCACTGTATGCTCCTGCCTTCTTCAGGTGGTTGGAATATCGAACTGAACCGTTTATTTCTCTCACTGGTGTAGAGTTTTAATTCCACGTGCCATGTCTAATGGATGTCAATTGTCAGTTATCTCCTGTTAATTCCCCCTCTCCAAGTTATCCACTGCCTTGACCAGGTGTTGAACTCACACTCTTTCACCCTGGATCTAACTAACGCCTTTATCCACTGTGCCATGTGTCCTTGACTTATCTTAGTCGACGCCTTTCGTCATCTAAGAGACTTTATTATGGCAAATGTAAGGAATTTTTTGTAATAAATATTTATAAACAAGAGACAAAACGTCATTGGTTTTTCATAATTTTAAAATTTCAGAACGTTCATAAATGTTCATCAGGTTGGTCGAAAAATTAGGCCATCTATGGAGGGCGCGAAGGGACACAATTCCTTGTCTAATAAACGAAAGTGAGTGAGTGTTTTTCTTAAATTTAAAAATAATAAAAAAACAACATTTTTGCTCTTGTATATTAATAATTGTCTCAAAATAAAAACCTTGCATTTGTCCTGATAGGGTTCCATCTGAGGACGAAACATGTTGGCAAAAAAATTTTTTTTGTCTATTCATATTGATTCTTTACAGATATACCATATCTATCTGTCTATCTATCTATCTATCTATCTCAGTTTATTCATATCTGTCACAGTCTATCACTATCTATCTATCTATCACAGTTTATTCATATCTGTCACAATCTATCTATCTATCTATCTATCTATCTATCTATCTATCTATCTATCTATCTCAGTTTATTCATATCTGTCACAGTCTATCACTATCTATCTATCTATCACAGTTTATTCATATCTGTCACAATCTATCTATCTATCTATCTATCTATCTATCTCAGTTTATTCATATCTGTCACAGTCTATCCCTATCTATCTATCTATCTATCTATCTATCTATCTATCTATCTATCTCAGTTTATTCATATCTGTCACAGTCTATCGCTATCTATCTATCTATCTATCTATCTATCTCAGTTTATTCATATCTGTCACAGTCTATCGCTATCTATCTATCTATCTATCTATCTATCTATCTATCTATCTATCTATCTCAGTTTATTCATATTTGTAACAGTCTATCCCCATCTATCTATCTATCTATCTATCTCCCATTTATCTATCTGTCACAGTCTATCACTATCTCTATCTATCTCAGTTTATATCTGTCACAGTCAGTCTATCTATCTATCTATCATCTATCTATCTATCTATCTATCTATCTATCTATCTATCTATCTATCTATCTCAGTTTATTCATATCTGTAACAGTCTATCCCTATCTATCTATCTATCTATCTATCTATCTCAGTTTATTCATATCTGTCACAGTCTATCACTATCTATCTATCTATCTATCTATCTATCTATCTATCTATCCCTATCTATCTATCTATCTATCTATTTATCTATCTCAGTTTATCTATCTGTCACAGTCTATCACTATCTATCTATCTATCTATCTATCTCAGTTTATTCATATCTGTCACAGTCTATCCCTATCTATCTATCTATCTATCTATTTATCTATCTCAGTTTATTCATATCTGTCACAGTCTATCACTATCTATCTCAGTTTATTCATATCTGTAACAGTCTATCCCTATCTATCTATCTATCTATCTATCTATCTATCTATCTATCTATCTATCTATCTATCTCATTCTATTCATATCTGTTTCAATCTATTCCTATCTATCTCTCAATTCTGGTATATACTTATCTATCTATATATCTATCTATCTCAGTCTATTCTATCAATCTATCTCAGTCTATTCATATCTCTCTCAGTCTATTTTTACCTCTCTCTCTCTCTCTCTCTATATATATATATATATATATATATATATATATTTCGTATTTCGAAATTTATTCCGGTGTATTGAATTCTCATACTCAGTTGACTAAACTATAACAGTTGACTAGACATTACGAGGAAAAGGTTTTGAAAATCATCTCGCAGAAAGAATAGAACAAACAGTGAATAAGTAAAGCAAGTCATTAACCAAAAAAACAGTGTTTATATGGAGGCGGTGGTGGTGGGGATGGTGGTTGTTGTGGGGAGAGTACGTGCACGCATGTGTGCCGTGTCTCTGAAACAATATTTAAATATGTGCGTGTGTATGAAAATAATATATGATTATTTAAAGCCATAAAACTTTTTTTAGTTTTTTTTTTTTTAAGCAAATCACCCCAAGCAATGCAGGAGTGTCACTAGCACGATAGGGGTTACAGAGAGTGGGAGCAAGAGTAAAGAGGGGTGACAGAGGAAAGGACGAAGAGAAACACGTCTCAACTGGACGTCTGGAGATGTCGATTGACATTACATTTGAATAATTGATGATTATATTTATCAGGGGAGAAAGTTACAGGAATGAAGTTCCACTGACGGGAGGTGCGAGAAAAGAACCTGTTGGAGTAGAAGAGATGGCTACCTTTAGCCGTATCGACAGTGAAAGCGTGGGACCGAGATGCCAATGCACGCTTAAATTCATGGGAACCAGTGAGGTAGGATAGCTGTTTCCCGTGACGAGGCTCTGTCCTTCGACAGAGCCTCGTCTGGGGATCCGCTCTGCCCGGAGGCAGAGAGTTTGATCAGCATAGCGGGAGATGAATCTCTAACTGCAGGATATCTACCAACCCGCCCACACGGTTAGATGTGGCACAAAGCCGAATTTAATCTGGGGTATCCGAGCCCGTAGGCTCAGCCAAAAATTCGCCGTAGACCCCATATAAAATGGGATCGATGTCTGGGCATCCTCTCTGCTGGGAGACAGATTGTCTGACCAGCACAACTGGAGATGAATCTCCAACTGCAGACCAACATACAGTATTTACTACTGTATTTATGTGAATGGGGACATATCCATATTCGTTCGTAGATATGCTACAATAATTATCATCATCGATATTATTATTATTTTTATTTCCATTGATCTCTGGTGTTTACACATTTCTTTCCGGGTCCTGCCCAGGGATCTAAAGTTAGAAATGGCATCATGACACTTTCCACTAGCAAAAAAAAAAAAAAAAAAAAAAAAAATTACATAGATCAAGCCCTTCGCAAAGTGTGGGCTGTACTTGACGACTGTACTTGTAATTTGAGGCATGGACTTCCAGGAATCCCTTCAATTAGTCTACTGCAATCTTTTCCATCCAGTCATAGGGCTCCAACTACAACAGGGATTGTTGATATTCCCATATGCCACATTTTTGAGATTTCTTTTACTATTATTACTATTATTATTATTATTATTATTATTATTTAATTTCTTTTAATTTCCCGTGTGTAGACATTTCTTTCTGTGTCTCGCCCAGAGACCTAAGGTTAGAAAGGCATCATGACATTTTCCACTGACCAATTAAAGAAAAGCACACAAACATATTTTGCATAGATAAAGCCCTTCGCAAGGTGTCGGAGGCACTCGTGAGAACATATTTTTTTTGTATTTCTTTAAGCCAAGGATTCCAGGAATCCCTTCACTAAGTCTACTGGAAGCATTTCCAACCAACCCGAGGGCTCCAACTACAACAGGGATTGTTGATGTTCCCATATGCCACTTTTATTATTATTATTATTATTATTATTATTATTATTATTATCAGTAGTAGTAGTAGTAGTAGTAGTTTTAGTAGTATTACTTTGATTTCTTATGCATACTCATTTCTTTCCGGGTTCCAACCAGAGACCTAAGGTCAGAAATGGCTTCATGACATTTTCCACGTAACATTTTATTAACCTAAGCTCACATACATCTCTATCTATAAAAGGCAGGATGTGTGTGTGTGTGTGTGTGTGTGTGTGTGTGTGTGTGTGTGTGTGTGTAACGAATGCACGGCCACAATTTTCGACGGATTTGCACCAAAATTTACATGCACATGCTCCAAGTTAGCCGAAAGGCCAAGACCGACTTTGCATTTCCCAACTCTCATCTATAGTGGAAATAATCGATTTTTTCATGCTTCTACGACAGTTTTCATGTAGTTTGCGGCCATTTTATACTGGTCAGAATGAGAGCCTATAGCTGGCTGCCACGAATAGGCAGGAAGATTCTATTGGCCAGCGTGAGAGCCAACAGCTGACTGACACGAATGTTCACTAGCATGCTAACATGCAAAAAATATCGATAGCTGCATTCGTCACAAGTGGGAAAAATTTAAATCTGCATGGCACTTTACTCCAATTGGCTCATTCACTTGCTTAAACTCAATGTTGATTCTGATTCTGCAGAACTGGGTTGGGTGTGAAAAAGTATTTGTTGTTAACATTCTTTTTTCATTCGGTTTTTCCAGTTACGACTCCTTTTTTAAAGCTGATCGTTTTGTGTTCATTTTGTTTAGTTCTTTTTTCGTAACAGATTTAATGTTTAGTATAGAGCTTAGAAAAAAGTCGCAGTGTGAGATAGGCAAGAAGTAAGGTATGTAGCAACATCAGCACGGCAAAGGGCACTTCTTTAAAGGCAAGGAAGGGCAAAAATATTTTAAGTCAAGTGATAGCGATTGCTGTATGAGTCGTACGATTTTTGAATCAAGCACGGGCAACGCCGGGCCATGCTGCTAGTTTTACATAGGTAAAGATCTCAGTAAGGTGTGGGCTGTACTCGTGTGAACAATTTTTCTTAATGCATGCGTTACCAGAAATCCATTCAAAATGTCTATCATAACCTCTTTCAGTCAATCCGAGAGCTCCAAGTACAACTGGAATTACTGATGTCCTCATCTGACTCAATTTTCTTTAGATTTCTACGTCAAGATCCTCGTATCTTTATGATGTTTTGGAGGCCTTCAAACATACATTACAGTTTGTGGTCGTGTCAATAAGAAATCATATTCTGTTCTTCTGGTTTTTGATCACGATGTCTGGACGATTAACTTGGATTGTTCTGTCTGTGTGTATTGTCAATCCCAATAAAATTGTTACAGGTGCTATCTCTGGAACCAGGTCTGGTGGATGTTCATACCAGCCACTTGCAGTCCCTCACCCCCACCCGTAAAAGTTGCATAATTTCCACTACAGATACTGGGCTAATCTATCATGCTAAGTGCTATATTCAATGGATGATTACACTGTGCAACCTAATACAATTTGGTCAATTGTTTCCACATATTCATCACAGAATCTTTATTTCATGGTGAAACAAATTATTATTATTATTATTATTATTATTATTATTTTTTATTTTATTTTTTTCCTTTGATTTCTAGTATATAAACATTTCCTTCCGGGTCCCAACCAGAGACCTAAGTTCATAAATAGCATTATGACATTTTCCACTGAGCATTTTTGGAAAAAAACATAAGATCACAATTATTATTATTATTATTATTATTATTATTATTATTATTATTTGATTTCTTGATTTCTGGTATATAAACCTAAGTTCATAAATAGCCTTCCACTGGTCCCAACCAGAGACCTAAGTTCATAAATAGCATTTGATTTCTGACATTTTCCCCAACTGAGCATTTTCATAAAAAAACATTTTCCACTGAGCATTTTTGGATCACTAAGATCACAATTATTATTATTATTATTATTATTATTATTATTATTATTTCTTTTGATTTCTGGTGTGTTCTCTTTTCTTTCCGGGTCCCAACAAGAGATCTAAGGTCAGAAATGGCAACATGACGTTTTACACTGAGCAATTAAAAAAAAAATCACACATATTTTAAATAAATAAATCCCTTCGTAAGGTGTGGGCTGTACTCGTCAGAACAATTTGTTTGTATTTCTTTAAGGCATGGGCTACCAGCAATTTCTTCAACGATTCTATTGGAATCTTTTCCAACCAATCCGAGGTCTCTAACTACAATAGGGATTGTTGATGCCCCCATGTGCCACATTTTTGAAATTTCGATCTCAAGGTTCATTTTGATACTTTTATCATTATTTTTATTTTTTATTTTCTACATATATATGTATGTATATATATCTATAGATATATATATACATATATATATACATATATATATATATATATATATGTATATATATATATAGATATATATATATATATACATACATCTATCTATCTATACATACATATATATATATATATATATATATATATATATATATATATATATATATATATATATATATATATATATATAACCTTTCCTATAAATATGTAACAAAAATAAAAATATTAATTTAGTCCGAGGACGACTCTCTTGATGACGAAACGTGTTACATCGGATTTTTTCCACGATGTCATTCAATAACCCCCATATATATATATATATATATATATATATATATATATATATATATATATATATATATATATATATATATATATTTATATATATATAGATGTATGTGTGTTTTAGTAAAAAAAAAATATGAAATATTCAGCAAGATTTTCACGGGCGCGAGATTCGTAAAATTGGTAGGCGCGTTCGTCAGGGGACTGGACGATAAATTAAATTTACACATATATGTCATCTATTACTAGTAAGACATTTTATAAATTTGTTTCAAACCAAACATTTCTTTAAGGAGAACATAAAATAATCTATCTATCTCACTCTGTTGATATCTATCTATCTCAGTCTGTTCATATCTATTTATATATGTATATCAGTGTCTTCCTATCTATCTATCTATCTATCTATCTATCTATGTGTCACGGTCTGCTCATATTTATCTATCTTCCTTAACCAATCGATATCTATCTTAATCTTATCATATCGATATATCTATCTTAGTCTGTTTACATCTGTTTCAGTCTTCGTTTATGTATTTCAGTCTGTTCGTAACTATCTATCGAGATCTACTTATTTATCTATCTTTTTCAGTCTGTCTGTCTGTCTCTCTTTACACACACACACACACGCACCCTATATATATATATGTGTGTGTGTGTGTGTATGTGTGTGTGTTTGTGTGTGTATATATGTATTTTTACATCTACCTTCACATCTCCCTGTCTGAGTCTCTTCACATCTAGTCTGTCCATATCTATCTATCTGAATATGTTCATATCTATCTCTGTATATTTCTATCTCCCTATCTCAGTCTATTCATACCTATCTATCCACCTATGTTATCATCTATCTATCTATATATATATATATATATATATATATATATATATATATATATATATATATATATACCTGTCTGTCTGTCTATCTATCTGTCTAGCTGAGTCTCTTTGTATCTATCTATCTAGCTAGTCTATTCCTACCTATCTATCCACCTAGCAGTCTATCTATCTATCTATCTATCTATCTATCTATCTATCTATCTATCTGTCTGTCTGTCTGTCTAGTTGAGTCTCTTTGTGTCTATCTAGCTAGCTATGTTCATATATATCTGTGTATGTTTCTATCTCCTTTTCTCAGTCTATTCCTACCTAGCAGTCTCTTCATTATCTATCTATCTATCTATCTATCTATCTATCTATCTATCTGGTGATTTAATTCTGAATTATGTCGTCGATATATTAAAAAAAAAAACTTTCTTTTTTCTCTCTCTCTCCTTTTACGCCCTCCGTTCCTTCTGACGCCACTGTTACCCAACATCCCACCATCCCATCTCTTTTTTTTTCTCCACTGACTGCAACACTAAATCAATTTTCGTTCTTTTGAAAAAGATAATATTTTTCCTGATGTTGTTGGAGGCGGAGTGTGTGTATGTTGTCTGTGTAGATGGAGTCAATCGAAAGACAGACGCTAAGAAGACAAGTTTAAGGCAGAAACTGCTCTTTCTGGCGGGGGCGGGTCCTCAGAAAGATTGACAAGAAAACAATAAAAAAATATGAATATTACTACTACTACTACTACTACTACTACTACTACTGCTATTAATAATAATAATAATAATAATAATTGTGATCTCAGTTGAAAATATCATAATGCTATTTCTGAACTTAGGTCTCTGATTGGGACGCGGAAAGAAATATTTATATACATACATTTGCTACCGGTTCGCTTTGCGATTTGTTTTTCGAAATCTATAACCGCGTCTCTAAGAAAATGTAGGCGATTGCATCTTCTCCTTTTCTTTAAATATCTGTAAAAGAAGAAAATCAAAAAAAAAAAAAAATTGTCTATATCTCTGGGATGAGGTATTACGTTTGGGGTGAACTGCCTTTTTTTTTTAAAAAAAAAAAAGAAAAAGAAGTTTCGACCGTTGTACGCTCCAGACTTTTTCAGGTGATTGAATCTCTGAGATGAGTTATCATGATTACTTGCATTATTCACATTATTCAGACTGTTATCCTCATCTTCATTGCCATATTCACAACGTTTCGGCCTTTGTACTCTTCGGCCTTCTTCAATATCTCTTCCTATCTCTGAGATGAGTTATCATGATTACTTGCATTATTCACATTATTCAGACTGTTATCCTCATCTTCATTGCCATATTCACAACGTTTCGGCCTTTGTACTCTTCGGCCTTCTTCAATATCTCTTCCTATCTCTGAGATGAGGTATTATGATTACTTGCATTATTTACATTATTCGGACTGTTATCCTCATCTTCATTGCCATATTCACAACGTTTCGGCCTTTGTACGCTTCGGCCTTCAATATATCTTCCTATCTCTGAGATGAGGTATTATGATTACTTGCATTTTTACATTATTCGGACTGTCTCATCTTCTTTGCCATTCACAACGTTTCGATTTATGTCTATGTCTTTCTATATAGCTGTCTATATATGAGGTTTATTTACTTGCATTATTTACATTATTCGGACTGTTATCCTCATCTCCATTGCCATATTCACAACGTTTCGGCCTTTGTACTCTTCGGCCTTCTTCAATATCTCTTCCTATCTCTGAGATGAGGTATTATGATTACTTGCATTATTTACATTATTCGGACTGTTATCCTCATCTTCATTGCCATATTCACAACGTTTCGGCCTCTATATCTCAGAAATGAGATGTTATGATTGCCTGCATTATTTACATTACTCGGACTGTTATCGTCATCTTCATTGCCATATTCACGACGTTTAAGCCACTATATCTCTGAGATGAGGTATTATGATTACTTGCATTATTTATATTAAGCCAGAATGAAGACCTGTATTCCTACACCCTCCACAGTACTCGATTGTCGGCAAGGTATCATCGTTTTACAGCCGTAAGTTCTATGCTAACAGTTTCTTCTATGGCAATTCTCCTGCAACTCTGTTCCAGCTTCTTGTTTCCCAGTCAACATTGATCGTCAAATATTTAAATGCAATGCCAATCGTAATCTTCTGTCTTCCTACTTCGTGTTCTTTTATTGTCCTCTCTCCTTAATAGTAGTTTTTCTCGTATTCTCTAACACTGGCTACCGTCTTGCATCTTAGTGGCTTGATTGCCTTTCTTGAGGTGAAATGATTAAAAACATTGTAATTCGCAGATAATTTAAAAGAAAAACGAATCTGTCAAGAGATATTTCCTGAAGGGGACATGAAATTTAAAACTGCTTCCGAATTAATGACTTTTCATAATCTTATCATTGTATAATACTGAATTGTACTCATTTAAAAACAAAACAGATTTAAAATAAATATTTGTTACGTAAAATTAATTCTGGAAACGATGTGAAAATATGAATAGCAAAAGCCTAGGCCACTTTCCATTAAATGGATGTAATCTGGAAATCTGATCTACCAGACGACCTCAAAGGGAGATCCTAGCGAGGCACAGTAGAGGCGGTATTAATGGCTGGTGCCAGGCAATAGATATGAACTAAAGGCCATGAGTTTGAACTTGATGGAACTTACACTCGAATGCTAAGGACTATATTTAACATCTCTTGGACGGAACATCCAACTAAATCACAGCTCTATGGAGCGTTCGTAAATATTTCTACAATCTTAAACCCTTGAGTTTAGGCTTGACGGAACCTACACTCGAATAGTGAGAGCTATACATAACATCTCTTGCAAGCAACGTCCAACTAAATCGCATCTCTATGGAGACTTTGTTAATATTTCTAAAATATTAAACATTAGCGTTTAAGCTTGATGTAACATAGATTCGGCTACTGAGAGCTATATATAAATTCTCTTGGACGCAACATCCAACTAAATTCCAGCTCTATGGACACTTCGTTAATATTTCTACTATCTTAAAAACTAGGGTTTAAGCTTGATGGAACGTACACTCGGATAGTGAGAGCTATACTTAACATCTCTTTGACGTAACCTCCAACTAAATCACAGCTCTTTGAGCCATTCGTTAATATTTCTACAATCTTAAACCCAAGAATTTAAGCCAGATGGTATTTACACTCGAATAATGAGAGCTATAATTAATATCTCTTGGACGTAACATCCACCCAAATCACATCTCTACGGACCCTTGGTTAATATTTCTACAATCTTAAACCCTAGAGTTTAAGCTAGATGGAACCTACACTCGGATACTGAAGGCTATACTTAACATCTCTTGGACGCCACATCCAACTAGAATACAGCTCTATGGACTCTTCGTTAATATTTCTACAATCTTAAACACTTGGGTTTAATCTTGATGGAACCTACACACGGATATTGAGAACTATACTTAACATCTCTTGGACGTAATATCCAACTAAATCACAGCTCTATGGACCCTTATAATCTTAAACCCTAGAGTGTAAGCTTCATGGAACCTACACTCTAATACGGCGAGGTATACTTAACATCTCTTGGACGCAACATCCAACTGAATCACAACTCTATGGATACTTCGTTAATATTTTTACAATCTTAAACCCTAGAGTTTAAGCTTGACGGAACCTACACTCGGATACTGAAGGCTATAACATCTCTTGGACGCCACATTTAACTAGAATACAGCTCTAGGGATCCTTCGTTAATATTTCTATAATCTTAAACCAAAGAGTTTAAGTTTGATGGAACTTACACTTGGATAATGAGAGCTATACTTAACATCTCTTGGACGTAACATCCAATTGAATCCCAGCTCTATGGAGCCTTCGTTAATATTTCTACCATCTTAAACACTTGGGTTTAATCTTGATGGAACATACACTCGGATACTGAGAGCTATACATCACATATCTTGGACGCAGCATCAAACTAAATCACAGCTATATGGAACCCTAGTTAATGTTTTTACAGTCTAAAACATTAAGGTTGCAGCTGGATCGAACATACACTCGGATAGTGAGAGCCATACTTAACATCTCTTGGACGCAACATCCAACTAAATCCCAGTTCGATAGACACTTCGTTAATATTTCTACCATCTTAATGACTTGGTTTTAAGCTTGATGGCACCTACACTCGGATACTGAGAGCCATACTTAACATCTGTTAGACGCAGTATCCAACTAGAACACAGCTCTAGGGATCCTTTGTTAATATTTCTACAATCTTAAACCAGAGAGTTTAAGTTTGATGGAAATTACACTCGGATAATGAGAGCCATACTTAACATCTCTTGGACGCAACATCCAATTAAACCAGAACTCTATGGACCCTTCGTTAATATTTCTACAATCTTAAACACTTGGCTTTAATCTTGATGGAACCTACACACGGATACTGAGAGCTATACTTAACATTAATTGGACGTAATATCCAACTAAATCACAGCTCTATGGACCCTTATAATCTTAAACCTTAGAGTGTAAGCTTGACGGAACCTACACTCGGATACTGAGAGCTAAACTTCACATATCTTGGACGCATCATCCAACTAAATCACCGCTATATGCACCCCTAGTAAATAGTTTTAGAATCTTAAATACTAGGGTGGCAGCTGGATCGAACCCACACTCGGATAGTGAGAGCCATACTTAACATCTCTTGGACGCAACATCCAACTAAATCCTGGCTCTATGGACCCTTCGTTAATATTTCTACAATCTTAAACACTTGGGTTTAATCATGATGGAACCTACACTCTGCTACTGCGAGGTATACTTAACATCTCTTGGACGCAACATCCAACTGAATCACAAGTCTATGGACACGTTAATATTTTTACAATCTTAAACCCTAGAATGTAAGCTTGACGAAACCTCCACTCGGATACTGAGAGCTATATCTAACATCTGTTAGACGCAGTATCCAACTAGAACACAGCTGTAGGGATCCTTCGTTAATATTTCTGTAATGTTACGCGGCCGAGAGTTCCACAAGCGAGAGGTGCGACAGCAGTATCTGTTAGCATTGAAGTTATGGGGAATTTTGTGGTGGGAAGATTGAGGAGTGGTTTCCTGTTGCCTTCTCCAAGATTCGGGATTAAGAATTTTTCTTCTCTCAGTCATAGAGCACAATATACTTTGGCATTTAACCTATAACTCTCAGAAGAGCAGGGGTGGTGATTCATGTCTTTGCCAGACGTATTTGTGAATGAAAGTAGATGTAACGTACTAACGTTTGATTTGTTCCATTTTCCGTAGTAATAGATTGACAGTCATCGCCCGTAACAGGTTTGTCCTTAAGATATATATATATATATATATATATATATATATATATATATATATATATATATATATATATATATATATATATATATAAAATAGAAAGAAAAAAACAGTTTAA